AACATCAGCAACATGAAGTACAATTAGTCAGACTTTAACTTGTTTAAAACTAGTCCTAGCATTTCTATATTATTTTCCTTGGCATACTTTGCCAGTTTGATCAACTGTTCCACATGTACATTTCATGTGTTATTTGGGTACAATAGGAAATAAAACTTTTTTGTCCATTTTAAAAGTATTTCAAAACAAGGGATGCAAACATTTGAAACAACTTAGCTATTTATCCTTCAGTACCCTACTAATCTGCATGGGAAAAACGACACATGGAAAGACATCAAGGAAGTTGATTTGGTTCAGGTTGGAGAATACAGCTGAGAGACGATATACAGCTTTCTTCAGTGAACTGGAAGACACTTACATGGAAGATGCTCTCTTCTTTTGAAGTGCAAAGCAAAAGGAGAAGAATTAGAGTACACAAACTTCAGGAACAAGAATTCTTACCACAAATAGGGAAAAAAATCTTCATGGGAATGATAACTAAATAAAGAAGTGGGTTGTTCAGAAGGACTGTGAAATCTTCATTCCTATAGATTTTCAATTCTCACATGGACAAGACTTGTTGCAACCTAATTTTTCAGCAGTGAGTTGGACTAGATGACCTCCAGATATCCTTACCAAACTCTTCTGTTGTACAATTTTTCTATGATTCAAATATTGCTACTCCCCTACACCAAATTATTGAGTTAACCTTAGTGAATCTTTAAATGGGAAGAAGAATTCAAGAATGAACGATTATTTAACCCTAAATAGTAAGAAGAGATATTTAAAATATTTAAAATCCTGATGCTAATATGAGTTTCCCAGTAAACATGGTTTGGGGTGGGTTTTTTTTACTAATGAAAAATAACAGATTTCTGCTTCCTAAACCATGCAAGGTCTTGTGAATTGATTGGATTTGTATTGACTAGAGTTTTTTTCGTTTGTTTGCTTAACTGGCATAACAATGATCTAGTAACAGGAAACCATTATTTAAATTAGTTTGAGTTAAACTTTAATTAAACCTGTAGGAAGCAGCTATGTTCAGATAATTGAATTGCCTGTGACTTTAGAATAATTTTTGTGGAGTGGAATAATGCAAATGTGAAATGATACCAGAGATTCCAGATTATAAATAGAAATTGTGGTGGTGAGTTATCACTAAAGGAGTGTGACCTTATATTGTTTGGTAAAAACAGTTACAAAAATAACAAAGAACTACACTGAGTAACAGGGAACCAGGTAACCTGCAAGCAGACTTCATTGAGAAAAATATATAAAAATAAAACTCAGCAGTTTCAAGAGAGACAAGGATGAAGAAGACATTGCACCAAAATTTCAAAACAAAAAGGTGGATTAGGACACATTTGTCTTTGAAGAATGAATGTTTATTATTAAATAATTTGCACAATACTGAAGATTTATCAGCTTTCAGCTAGTGACTAAATTATGTGTTGAAATCCTTTTTTTCTTTTTTTTTAACTCTTTTCTTTCTCTAATGTGACTTCAAGTGTTTTCATTATCTACATAACTGTCTAATCCTTTTATCAATCCAAATCCTTTCTTAGGGATGTGTTGTGGTAATAAAAACTACAGGTTAATTATGTGTTGTGTAAAGATGTATTGTTTTTAATCAACTTCAAAACTGTCACTTTTGAATTTCATTCAGAGTCCCTTTGCTCCTATCTTCCAAACTTCTGTACAGTTTCTTTCACTAATAAATGTTATTAAGATGTTTCATTATTACATGTTTAAAGTGTATTATCATCTCTGTAACAAGATCATTTTCAGAACATCTGAATAAATGGTATTCTTACTTAACCCTCAAGAACCCCAAACCCTTTTATGATTTGAGTGCGTGGGGAAGTTTCTCTGATAAGCTGCTTGCATAGTTCTTTCCAGTGTAAAATTTTATTTACGTTGTTAGGAAATTATAGTGGTTTCAGTACTATTTCCTGCTTAGAAATCAATTGAGCCATTTATTTTATAATACTAAAATGTTTAGTTATGTAATTATAAACTGATTTTAATTACTATATTGGTCACCAAAATATATTTTCTTGGTGAAAAGAACCAATTCTATATTTTTATAATGACTGTTAAGATGTCATTAAATATATCCAATGGCAATTTTTAAAGGCCTAGTCATGTATCTTGAAGTACAGTTCATCTCTAAATGAAGTGGGTTTTAATTAAAAAAAAAAAAAGAAAAATAATATCATTAAATGAATTTGCAATGGAACTGATAACTTAAAAGCCATTATTTTTCTTTTTATGTTGTGCCTGCTTCAGTTATGAGATTCTGTCTCATAAGAGAAATAAAGGGCAAATCCAATTTGGCATACATATAATTTTTTCTCAAGCCAACAGATGTGTCATTCAACTCAACATCTGTTTGGCTTTTACTTCTAGTAAGAGCTCATTTGTGAATTTATAATTTTTTTACATGATCACAGAGCAGGTTGAAAATTTCTCAAAAACTAAAGCTTCTCTTCTAAGAACTATTACAAAACCTACTTGATTTTTATGAAAAAAAGATGTAACTGGAGGTAAACAAAAAACAAAACAAACAAACAAACAAAAAAAGGTGCATTTGGGCATTGGGTAAAAAGAAGCAAAATGTTTGAGGCAGTACTATTAATAAAGATGCATTAACCAGGGAGTTGAGAATTTGCTTTAAATGTCAACAGTAATATCTAAGTCTACCATGATGGAGACAGAACTTAAACACTAAACATATGAAATACACATAGCTAATATAGGAAGCTGTAAGTGCATGACATCTGTAGCTAAAATAATGCTTGACCGTGCTTGCATAAATTCAAGCACATTTAGGTTGAGTGTTTTTAATGTTTATATTGCTATTTTCAAGTCAATATCTGTTGAACATTGCACCAGAATCATCAATTTGCTCCAATAGACATAGATAGTATGAACTACATAGAAAGCTAGTATACAAAATTCATACATGCTTCCATAAGTATCTTCTAAGGGTTTTGGGTTTTTTTGAAATTTAAGGAATAAGGAAAAGACCCAGTTAATTGTCCTTTTGCCTCACAAACTAATTAAAATATTTGCCTAGCTCCAAATATATGACATTTATAACATCTGTCTATTAAGTAGTAACATCTCAAGATTCAAATTCTTTATTTGATCATCTATGTCATAGGTGTCTATGACTGAAGTAGTTAACCTAGTCTCATTTTCTAATCACTGGAGAAGATCATAGAATCATAGAATCATAGAATAGATTGGGTTGGAAAAGACCTCCAAGATCATCAAGTCCAACCCCTGATCCAACTCCAATTACTATATCATGGCACTAAGGGCCATGTCCAATCTCTTTTTAAAAACCTCCAGGGATGGTGAATCCACCACCTCTCTGGGCAGGCCGTTCCAATGCCTGATCATCCTCTCTGTAAAGAATTTCTTCCTAACATCTAACCTAAACTTCCCCTGGCAGAGCTTGAGCCCATGTCCCCTTGTCCTGTTGTTGGTTGCCTGGGAGAAGAGACCGACCCCCATCTGGCTATAACTTCCCTTCAGGTAGTTGAAGAGAGTGATGAGGTCACCTCTAAGCCTTCTCTTCTCTAGACTAAACAACCCCAGATCAGAAACCTCCAATGAGCAATTCTTCTCATACAAAGTTCAAGTGGTTAACATAGGTCAAATGAAGCACCTTCTAGAGACAAATCATTTTCTTGACTCTGAAAAGTAGCCCAAAAATAACAGCTTATATGCTTATTTCTTTCTAACCTCTAGAGTACCATTAAATGAATCCTAGCCTACATACATTCTTATATGTACATAAAGAGGTATTTGAAAATTGAGAAGCTAGTTGGCTTCTGAACATTCACAGCTAAGCTACTATAGAGTTTACAAACTTCAGTTGCTTTAAAGTAGCTAAAATAAAAAGTACTAAAACAATGAATGTAGATGATACTGATAATTAAATAATGGATTTGGAAAACATCAATGTATTTTTTTGCAGATCACCATAGCTTCGTACAGTATCAAGGCAAAAATGATTTGGCAATGGGCCTTAGGTTTGTTTTGAAAAGACAAACATTTGACTAAAGAGGAAGGAATTAATCTAGACCATGTAAAGCTGTTACTTGAATATTTTCTTCCATCCCGGTGTCCACTTGGAGAAAAGTGCTGACATACTAAGAGAAGTTAAAAGGATGTGTACAGAAATGATTCAGAATCTTGAAAATAAAATTCATTATGACAGTCAAAAATTCAACATTTTTAATTTACTGAAAAGGTAAAATGGTAACTTAATCACTATGTGTCAGCGTCTTCTGCATGGAGAAAAATTAGTTGTCTCCCACTCGTTACTAAGTTCTCTGTTACACTGAAAGCAATCTGACAGAGATGAACACTTTCATCTTTTTTACATTCATTGCAAATTTCAGAGGTTTAGAAGCAAAATAGCCTAGATCAAATTGTAGTAGAATAGTGTCATTGCCCCTACTAGGCTATGATACCAAGGTCAAATTAGTCCATTAATTTCTTCCAGTTTCTTTTATTCTAAAATATATGAAAAGGTTTATGGTCAATAAATGTCATCTCTATGTTTTTGCCTCCTGTTCCAATCTGTTGTTTATCAGGTCTGTATTTTTAAATCCAGTCATTTTGGCTTATGGTCATGATTCAAGTACAATATCAGTAACATGTGTAAAAAACATGGTCTAATCCATAAATATGTGATTTCTATGATTTATTAAACTTTTGCTCTGTAGTTATATATTGTTCCTGAAAACAGCAGTTGAGTTGCTCTGTTGACTTCAAAATTACCTTTATACATCAAGAAGGGATTAAATCTTACATATCTCATTCCAAGGGACAATTTTCATTTGAAATATGTGTACATCAGTCTCTAATGGATACAATGAGAGTGTATTTTAAAATAAGGAATGAATAGGGGAGTATAAATGTATAACTAGAGGAGAAACACTCCTAAAACTGCTAAGAATCCTCTGTTATTAAAAAAAATAAAAAAGTCGACAACAGTAACCCTCCAGAAATCATAAAATTTTATTGTGTAATATTATTTTTTAACATTCTTGTTTGAAAACTCTCTTAAATGTGAAGACAGTACTAGAATGAGAAAACACTGGGACAGATTCTCAGCTAGAATCACTTACAGAAATTCTGTTGAAGACTATATTAAATGCAACTGCCCTCCAGCCAGTTCTTAACCCAGCACAGAGTGCCCCTGTCTAAGCCATGGGCTGCCAGCTTTTCCAGGAGTATATTACAGGAGACAGTGTCAAAGGCTTTGCTGAAGTCCAGACAGACACATCCACAGCCTTCCCCTCATCCACCAGGCAGGTCACCTGATCATAAAAGGAGATCAGGTTGGTCAGACAGGATCTGCCTCTCCTAAACCCGTGCTGGCTGGCTCTGATCCCTTGTCCATCCTGTAGGTGCTGTGTGATTGCACTCAGGATGATCTGCTCCATAACTCTGCCAGGCACTGAGGTCAGACTGACAGGTCTGTAGTTTCCCAGGTCCTCCTTCTCGCCCTTTTTCTGGATTCATGTGACATTCACCAACTTCCAATCATCTGGGACCTCCCCAGAGAGCCAGGACTGTCAGTAAATGATGGAGAGGAAGAAGTCTTTAAAACTAACTTCGTTACACAATAGTTAATGAAAAAAATAAACTAGTTTGAACATTTTTATACCTACGAAGCAGGTTATTATAGGTAAAAAAACCAGGACATACAACAAAATAACCGTTTTTTAATATTTACTCATTTTTTATTGCCATACATCTTTTATATTAAGTTGAGAATATGTTGTAAGTTTAGCACTTGATGCAATTTCAATTGCAAAGTAAAGATATGAAACAGTCAAACACTCTTACCTTCATGCTTTACAATTTCTGTCAACTTAGACTATTTTTCCTTAAAGAAAGGAAAAAAAGTTTATAGTCCATAAACTCAAGGACCATAATACCTGTAGGGATTCAGAATAAATGAGAAGGAAAAGGACAGGAAAGTAGAAGGGGAAGAGAAGGAAGAAAGGAAAAGGAAAACAAAAATGAAAATGAAAAGACAGAAAACTGTGACACTCTAAAACAATTATCTATTAAAATATATAAAGCACATGCAACATTTTATTAATCTAATTTGTATTTAAAAACACAGGAATCACTGTGTAACAAAACAGAAGGTAAATGCCACTCCTGATTGAACTATGAATTATTCTTTTCAAACAGGCCAGAATAATTTAGGAATAGATTTCCAGTTGAAAGTAGAAATAATTCCAGTTTGTTTGCACAGCAAAGAGAATTTATTCCATTAATATCAGAATTCCTTTGAGTCTGACATACATGCTTCCAAAAAATTCGAACATCATGCCACTATTACTTTCGTGACATTCCTGTGGAATGACAAACACATTTTTCCACATTTTGTAGATGAAGAATGCAGAAACAAAGGTGATAGAGGCATTGAGATATACAGTAACTGATTTCTAAAAAAAAAAATATTATTCAATCTTTATGGCATTCAGGGATTTGAGTGAAATTCTGAACTTTTAAGAAACTTTACAAACATATCTAAACATAAATATGCAGACATTTAAAGTTGGAAATTAATTGCAATTAGTGTCCCAGTTTCCCCTAAATAACAGTATTAAAGTTCAGCTGTGTTAGTCTATAATATTGCATAGAGCTGCTGAATTTGAATCCCAAAAATTCTACTTTCCTTTTTACAATTTTGACAGATATTTAATGCCATCTTTCTAACTGCACATGTTTTTGAAACCTTTTCTTTACTCACATTAAAAAAAGAAGGTACCTAATTATCCCCAACTCTGCCTGTGTTCACAACGGAAACCAGAATTATTCTTTATTATTTGTGCTAAGAGTCCCTAATTTTACAGAGGTCTCCTAGAAAACCAAACAGATATTTCTGGAATGGCTTATCAGGATTTTTTTGTTCTTTTTTTGGTTGGTTGGTCTGGTTTTGATTGTTTTATTTGCTGGTTGGTTTATTTTTCTTTTTTTTTTTTTTTTTTTTCTTTTTTTTTCTTTTTTTTTTCTCTTTTTTTAATTAAACATCAAAGTCTGTAGGGCTTGTGGAATAGCTAGGAATTAAAATCCTATTGAATGCTCCTGTTAAGGCACTTAATTTATTTATTTATTTATTTATTTACACAGCATAATTTGATGTACATAAATGAAATTATAACTCAGATGGATGGACAATTAGTGAAATGAGATTAAACAATGTGTGATTTTGCACTGCAAAAATATCAGTGGTATTGTCCACATGGGCCATTTCTTGGTGTTCAATTTTCTAAATGTCTTAGGAGCACAAATGCTTAATTTAAAGCCATTACACAAACAACACTGATTAAATCAATGACAAATTTGCAAAATAGATGCATGAAACCATAGTTTCTCTATTGAGGATTCAAGCTGTTCAGGAACAATGAAATGCAAGCAGTATATAACTACACGTGAGCTAATAAGGAATCCACTAGCACATGCATATGGCTTCTGAATCTGATTTGTTGGGTGTACATGCAGCTTAGCTTGCTAGTAATCATACCATATCCTGTAGAAGTTCCTCAAGGCCTTTTCATAAATGATGGGTAGAAGCTCCACATGTCCACTGAAAAAACTCAAACAGAACATCAAAATGAGGAGCACTTCAGTATACATGTTAAAACACGCACACACAAAGCCCAAAACCCAACAAAGAATCCTGCAAACCCTCAAGAAATCAAAACAAAGAAACAAGTGAAACTCCTGAAAGCCTCACTTCTCTACATTATACTTACAGTAATCCTTTCAAAAATTCACATTAGAATTCCACAATTAAAATGTTAGGAATTTTGTCTACAATAAAAGATTTAGAAGAGAAAATGTAAGGAAAAAGAAAAGGAAAAAAAAAAGGGTTGCAGGATTTCTTATATCCAACACTTAACGTAACTGTAAGTATGTCTTTGACCCAGGATATTTTAAAAACTGAAACAGATAAAAGCATGCTTACTGAGATGGCTTCCAGGATACTGATAGCCTAATTCATTGAACCAAAAAAATGTTACTTCAGCTGGCATTAGCATTCCATAAGATGGCATGCACCACTGAAGCAATACTCATTTCATCATAGCTATCTATCCAGTTGAAATTTTATTATGCTATTATACAAGATATTATATATTCACATAAACAGTGTGTTAGTTTAATAAGATGATAATAAAACATGTCCTTTAAACAAACTGTTTTATGAATGATCATAATGCACCACCCAGAATGCTTAGCATTTTTAGTATCTGTCTGTTACTTTTTTTACCCTTAAGACCCAGTCATGTGAACTGATTCTGAAAAGTAAAGAGCTCTTATGGAGTGCTGATACTTTTATTTGGACTTGTCAAGCACTTTCATTTGCAAAGGCAAGTTGCATTTGCTTTTAAATGCATGTAAATCTATCTGAAATAAATAGAATAGAAATAATAAAATGAAACAAAATTGTACTACAGAAACTTTTATTGGGCTGTGGTTTTGTTAGAGTGGTACAAGTTTCATTTTTTTCTTATGGAATATGTATATAAAGAATGGTTTATTTGAAATAATGTTCCTAGACATTCAGAAAAATTTGAAGAAGGCAAGAACAGGTAGCAAAAAAATTCACAGAATCATAGAATTTTTGGGGTTGGAACAGACTTCTGGAGATCATCTAGTCCAACTGCCCTGCCAAGGAAGGGTCACCTACAGCAGGTCACACAGGAACACATCCCAAGGGGTTTTGAATATCTCCAGAGAGGGAGACTCCACAACCTCCCTTGGCAGCCTGTTCAGTGCTCTGGCACCTTCAATGTAAAGAAGCTCATTTGGAGCTGGAACTTCCAGTGCCTTTTTTAATTTGAGGTCATTACTTTTTGTCAGGTCACTGGACACCACTGAAAAGAGTCTGGCACCATCCTATTGACACCTGCCTTTGAGATATTTATATGTATTGATGAGATTCCCTCTCAGTCTTCTCTGTTGGCTAAACAGGCTCAGCTCCCTCTCCTCATAAGAGAGACGCTCCAGATTCCTAATCATCTTTGTGGCCCTCTGCTCAACCCTCTCCGGTACCTTCTTGTCTTCCTTGAACTGTGGAGATCAGAATTGAATACAGTACTCCACATGTGACCTCACTAGGGCCAAGTAGAGGGGGAGGATCACCTGCCTCAACCTGCTGGCAGCACTCTCTGATGCAGTCCTGGATACCATTGGCCCTCCTGGCCACAAGGTCACAGTGATGGCTCATGGTAAACATGTCATCCACTAAAACTCCACGATCCTTCTCAGCAGAGCTTCTCTCTAGTAGATCAGCCCCCAGCCTCTACTGGTACTTGAGGTTACTCCTCTCCAGGTGCAGTACCCTACACTTGCCCTTGATGAACCTCATTAGGTTTCTTTCCACCCAGTTCTCCAGTCCATTAAGGTCCTGCTGAATGGTAGCACAGCTTTATGGTGTGTAAGACACTCTCCCCAGTTTCATATTATCAGCATTTATAATTCTTTTATGATATTTTTGTAGACTGAAATTGAAAGTGTCATGACTCCTTGGTATATTTTTGCTTCATTTTTGTACCTTAAAAACATAAAATATAAAAGAAGATAAGACCTTTTTTTTCTGTTGCTGCTTCACACAATAATTTGCATTTTATCCAGACAGAAAATAACCTTGTGTCAAGAGGCAATTTATACATTTTCATTTTTTATTTTGTCATATTCTTCATAAGTTTATTTCTTCCTTTATTCTAATTAGGTATGCAGGTTATGTGATGTAAATATCTACTGAATAGTTGTACTTTCATAAAAGTAATGTAATTATTAATTTATTTAGAGACATTAAAAAAAATTATGATAAGAATATATAAACCACATACACTAAAGTCCACATAACCTGTAACCTGTACAGAAAGAGGTATTTCTCCATATTTAACTTTAAACCATTTAAACCCAAAGAAATCCATAATATATTTGGATTATCCTTTCTCATCATGTTGACAAGAGATTTACACTTAAGTAGGCCTGATTGCAAATTGGCAGCCACATATCTGAAACATTTAAAACTCTTGTTAGAATTGTTTAATTGTCATAAAAATAAATGCCAGACTTAATGACAGATACCAAAGCTTTGGTAAGATTTACACAGTGCTTAATTTTAGGCAAAATACTACAGCTTCAAAAATTGAGAACAAATAATAATTTTGAAGAATTAAATTGCACAAGACATATTTTTAAAAGCTGAATATGGAGGTACTTTATTGAATTATTACATTGAAACCTCATTCCCCAATTCAATTACAATATGGAACTGGAGAATGAGATGATGAGGAGCAGTGTCACAGAAAGAGACCTGGGGGTCCTGATCAGTGGCAAGCTGAATATGAGTCAGCAGTGCCCTGGCAGCCAGGTGGGCCAACCATGTCCTGGGGGCCATCAGACAAAGCATCACCAGCTGGCTGAGGGAGGGGATTGTCCCGTTCTGCTCTGCACTGGTGTGACCTCTCCTGGAATATTGTGTGCAGTTTTGGGCACCACAATATAGGAAAGATATTAAGCTGTTAAAGAGTGTCCAAAGGAGGGCAACGAAGATGGTGAAGGGCCTTGAGGGGAAGCTGTATGAGGAGTGGCTGAGGTCTCTTGGTCTGTTCAGCCTGGAGAAGAGGAGACTGAGGGGAGACCTCATTGCAGTCTGCAACTTCCTCGTGAGTAGAAGAGGAGGGGAAGGCACGGATCTCTTCTCCCAACTGACCTACTAAGGATCTACTAAGGCAACCTAGCTGAAGTGGCACAGATCTGGCATACCCTTCAGTCATACTATGCAATTCAAAAGGACAAGATTAAAAGTCTTTCAGAGGTTTGGGTGCAGTACCACAGTTCACAGAACATTCTGCTTAGGACCTACTAGTTTTCCTTAGATCATATAATCCAGACAGATAAACACAGGTGTATCTTTATTTGCTTCTATGCTCTTCCTCATGAATATTTTTCTTTAATATTTTCTAGTTTACATGTTGTTATACTAAACATTCAGCAGAGTACACCCTCTGACTTACAGGTTGCCTTTTTCACTCAGTCAAAACGTTTCATAGCACCAGAAGTGAAGTTAAAATGAGAATGGTAGAGGGAAGCAAGGAAGAAGAGCTACCAAAGGTTATGTAATCCGAATAAGGAATCCAGTGAAATTTAACATCTGCATGCATAAGAGGATGAATGAAACATCATAAAATTGTCTTTATGGCTCTTCGTGAAGGTATCTGGAATGATTGCAAAGGAAAAGAAGTAAAAAGTGATCCGCTGCTGTATATTTATTGTTTCTTCTTTTTTTTTTTTTTTTTTTGGTCAACTTACACAGTATGCATGAAGAGGAATTGGCTTCAGTAGCCTGAAATTAGTTTATATAAGAACTCAAAATGAGAAAGCAATTTTGAAAGTTTATATGATAACATGAGACAGTTAGACAAGTTGTAATTTCAGAGTTAGTGATTTGTTATTTTGAAACTGTGATTTTAACCTAAAAGAAGCAAATAGAATTTGTCATGTTATTAAAAAAAATGATAGTAGATGGACAGCTATAACTACTAAAGATGGGTCAGCTAAATACTTTTATGAAACCTGTCTTTCTAAGCAGGAAGAAAAGTTTATTAACTTTACTCTAAAATTACTCTATACTTTTACACAAGAAAAAACAAGATACACATTTAGCATTCCTTATTTTTTTTTTTTTATAAAAATCACAAGATCATTTTCAGAAAGCAAAATTTGTACTTGTTTTCTCTCATGTTAATAATTTTCTTGGCTTGACAGGAAGCCAAATTACAGATGTTAAATACTTCTTCTTGTGAAAATCAATGCTGAACAGAAAAGCTAGGTGCACCTTTTCACCTCCCAAAATTATTCATGTTCTATATTCAGTGCAAGCTGTGGCTATTTATCCTGCAATATAATTGCAATATATGGTTTTGCTTCTTCAATGTTACCTTTATTCCACCTCAGCAGCACTAAACTTACAGATTGAAAGTTACCATAACTTCATCTTGCAAGCATCTTACAGTCTCTAGAATCATCACAGACTTTAGGACAAATAAAAAGCCACTTATCCAAAAACTGGGTGCTGACGCACAGGTCATAGTGATATCTAAGCCAGATGTAATGAAGAAAACACAGACAGGTAATGCACTGACACATGATGTTTAGAAATGCTTAGACCATTTAGTGATAAAATTGTTCCCATGATAAGCATATAGGAGAAACAACAACAAAAAAATTCTTGAAAACATAAACTTTGTAGAAGAAAGAAGATAAAAGGAAGTAAAACTAAGCTTATACATAGAAATTATAAAGAAAGTAAAATTTTCAAGAAATCAGTGTGCAAGTATCGGAAGGAAGATTCTTTTTTTCCCCCCAAAAAAAAACTTGATAACATTATATTGAATTCTGTTATCTACAACTCACGAAATATACTAATAAGTTTAAGTTAAAAGAAAGTTTAATAAAAATGTAAAGTCTAATTCTAATCTCTGTCACTGAATGGTAAAACACCATTTTAAACTGGGTTTGTCATATGCTGAAATGTTTGATAAAAGATTAAAATCCAGATTACCCAACTATACACCAAATACCACTAAAAGAAGAAATAAGTAAAATAGAAATTTTATATCATAAGAACTTTTAGATGCTACATAAAATTCAAGTAGCAACAACATGATGATGAAGGTGATATGAAAGAAAGACTTATTCTTGAGCACATAATGTCTCGGG